CTTGGCAAGTATGTGGACCTCTGGTTCAGCAATTCGAGTAGTAGTTTGAGGGTCAGTGTTATCTGAATGGATGTGTCAGGTTTGTCACTAGTTTCCTGTAGGGCATTAAATTGGTTTTGCTCTTCTGATACCTCCTTGGCTGGAATGTATCTCTGAGTGGCATTCTTGTTTTCGTTTTGTGGTCTATTTTGAGGGTTCTTATTTTGTTGATTTGGGTTGGTATCTCTATGCATGCCATCTTACCTTTGACATGGTTCCTGGGTTGATGAGTTTTCCATTGTTCATCCTGACCATTATGAAATTGCTGGGCTCTTATATCCTTTCCTGTCATGTGACTAGCATCAGCTTTATTACTTCCCGTATCCTTTTGATCTGTGCCTCTAGTTTGCCTTTGATTGTACTTCTCTTCTTTATTGTTATTGATGTCAATGTCTCTTGCCTTAATTCTGCATTGTGTTTCCTTGTGACCTTGGTGTTTGCAGTATTGGCAATAACAGGAACCCCCTCATATTCTAGAGGTTGCCAATAACCATCTCCGTCCCCATCATCAAAACCAACCCAAATACTGTCCGGAAGACCTTTGATCAAATTGACCTCCACTCTAGCTTTGGCTTCATAGCTCTAGTTTTACTCATAGTAGCTTTGTCTAAAGATAGAAGGACTCCAATTTGTTCCACAATTTGCTTAACTGTCTCCCAATGATAGCAATGCCAAGGTAAGAGAGGCAAAATGAACCAACCAGGGACAAAATCAGGCATCCGTTTCAGAAATCTAAGATGATGCTCCCTATGTACAAAAATCTTTGGAAATAGACTAGGTTGTAGTCAGAAATATTTTCCACATCTATATAGATGTGTTTGGCATCAACATAAGTTATATTAACAGTAGCTTTGAAAGGGATTTGAGTAGTAAATATTTCCTGTTAATTTCAATTTTTGGCATGGTTGCCCAAAATCGTGAATTTGCAATCAGAGACCAGAGTTTCAAAATAATCTTTTAGATAAAAAATTACAGCAGGCTTACCGATTTTGGTCGTTTGTTTTGCTGAGCTGCCTTCTTCATCGTAGTAGCGTATGAGGAGGCTCCAGTAGCCAAATGACCCCTGCTAGCAACTGGGTTATCAGAAATCGCATGGGTTCGTCCATCCCTCTGATTTTGCTGGGGAATCTGCTGGGATGGTTCAATAGAATCGAGTGGGTGATGTGTAGGGTGTATAGTTAGCAACCGCCGACATGACGCCGCAGGTGTCTGGAAAACCATGGAGAATGACGTTAAAAACGATCCCTCTTCATACGGAGAGAGCTTGGCTAGTGTTAAAAAAGATCCCTCTTCATACGGAGAGAGCATGGCTAGTGTTAAAAAAGATCCTTCATCTTCTTCCCTTGTAAAGATAGAGTTAACTCTTTGCCAATCAATTCACCACTTTCTGCCTTGTCATGTCACTCTGCACAACAGATGTAGAGTGTTACAATGCCCTTAAAGAAATCCTCCTTGATCTCATTATCCGACCCAACCAAGTGACACCATCAAGAGTAAAAGCCAGAACGATGCAATTCTTGTAAGCACATAAATGAGACAACAAAAATCCCGAAAGAATGCGCTCTTCTCCAGTATCAACCCAATTGCAGTTGTGTAATCGAAAGTCAAGGTAAAGTGATACTTTACTTTGGTTACCCAAACAAAATTCGTCAAGCAAAATATGCAAATATTGAAATATGTGAAGCCATAAGGCACCATCAAATGAAAATTCAATTTTCACCAATCTCCAAAAAACATTCAACATGAAATACCCTTGGCAAGCAAAAGCAACCGGATAACTAGTCTCATCTCTTAAAGGAGAAATGCCAACCGCCCGAGCTACATTGTTTCCTATATTTCCCCCACCCTCATGTTTAGAGTCAACGAATGGATTTTCTATCAGAGTGTAATTAACTAGTTAACCACTAAGGAAGTAAGGGGTACAAAGTGTGAAGAAATACCAATAGTATTGTTAAATGTCGCAACAATCACTTCGGTTAGCAAGGTCTCATAGTGAGAATGGAGTGCACTGTCATTGTTGTGGGAGCTATGTCTTCTGAATTTGGCCCATCTACGTTTGTGCTCGCCGGTGTAACTGAAGAATTGTCCTCCAAAACTCCATTGGGCATTTTATCAAACATGTGAGCTGCCTCTGAGTTTCCATCTTCTTTATCAGATTTTGCCTTCGGTGTATTTGATAGCTCCACCGATTTTTGGGTATTTGCATCAAACGATCAATCAAACAATCGTTGAGTTCATCAATTTCGAGGGTTTGAAGCTTTGATAAAGAACGGAACGTGGAAGGGTAACTTCCCTCAGACCTTTAAGCAGACGCTGGAGTGGGGTAACGCCATGCTTGTGGTATTTGCTATTCTCGCTGAATCTGTGAAGGTCTGTTGTGAAAATGACGTAAGTATTTTTTTTTTCGTAAAATGCTTCCAATTATAGAATTGCTTGTTCTGAAACAACCAATTGAACCAAGTAAGAGCTTCTCCATCAAGGTAAAAAGAAGAAAGAGGTAGCCAATCCTGTTCGGAGAAGCCAATGTGGAAAAAGTACTGCTCGGCCCAAAGAATCCAACCCTCTGGGTCGCTGCCGCCACTGAATCAATTTAATACCACCATTTTCATTGTAATAACTCCAATTTCATAATAAAAACATTCAAATATTATAATCACTAAACTCAAAGTTACAACCGAAAATTGAAACTAACAAAAGAAATTGCAAAAAAACTATGGACTAATAAAACAAAGAAACAATTAAAGAAGATAAGTAGAAGGGAGATGAGATGCTTAGACTCAAATAGGGGTGGCAAAATCAAATCCATCCCGCCCAACCCGTTCATTATCTCAACCAATTCCAATTCAACTCATTTCGACCCATCAAAAATTAGTTAATATGTGACTCGAATTAGCTCATGAAAAATCTTGTCAAAATATTTTTAAAAAACTTTTTTTTTCAATTTGATATGTTGTATATAGCAATAATAAAGGAAAAAAATAATTTTATTAGGAACTAAAATAGTTTAAAAGAACAAATAAAATAATTAAGTTTAGTAAATATTGGGTTGGGTTGGGTCTTGATCGTAACGTAACCCATTACCTAACCCATTTTGAGCCAAGTAAATTTGAGTTGGGTTGGGTCTTGATTCGATTATTGTTTTAACCCTTTATGACCCGTCCAAATTTGACCCAATCTGCCCAATTGTCACCTTAACTCAAAAAAAAAGAGATCACAACACTAGACATTTTCACTCAACAATTTGCATAAGTATAATTTGCTCTCACAAGTCGTATTTATCGATCTGGATCCCAAACATAGTCTCTCTTCATTCGGTATTGGGCTGCTTTGCCATATTGGTCCTGGCCTGTTCATAACAACACCACTAACATCAGTTGCTCAACTGCATTCGAATGTGAGCTTGCAGCTCTCCTGTTGGGTCTTCTCCAGGCACGGGATTTGAATCTCCGCCCACTGCCTATTAAGACTGTTTCTCAGGTACTAACCCATATCACACCAATCTCTACTCACATCTTATTTCTGATTGCAGGTGATGTTCGTCATAAAATGCATACATTTAGCCACATTTTATCCCTCATATACATTATCTTGACCGCTATTTGAGTACAACTATGGTATTTACATTTAGCCACTTTTATCCCTCATATACGTTCTCTTGACCGCTATTTGAGTACAACTATGGTATTTCCGTACTTATTATGTGTTTTTCTGAATGATGTTTGAGCTAATGAGCACAATTGGAGCTAAAATGACTACTTTGGAGCTTCACACAAACTGAATTTAAGATATATTTGCATCTCTATTGAATATAACCTTTGTGATAAAATAATCGAGATACACACAAACTGGTTTATACGTACATCATCGTCATAAAAGAAATACAAGAATATTGCACCTAAAGCTCAAACAGCTAAAAAAAAAATTAACTTTTTCACTACGGCAAAAATAAAGACTTGGAGTAGAGTGATCAGTTCGTTTGGTGCTGTTTAGGAGGAGTACTGCCTCCTCACAAAGATAGAATTGTGTCTGTTGAAAAAGAAGAAATTAGGAGGTATACTATATAATAGTAATTATTAAACTTCCAAAACATCCATTTAGACATGTAGGTCTAAAGTTTTATCTTTACTTACAGACCACAAGTCTAAATTTGAATTTGGGCTGTTCAAACTTCAAACCTCTAGGAATGAAGTCTACATGGAAACACCTAACTATATACCCAAAGCATTGAACTGGCTAATGAAGCAGGAGGTGGAGAAGGTGGTTCAGTACCAAATCGGTTAATTGTTAAATAAATTTTGAAGAGTGTGTATGTTTAAGAAAAGGGTGCTACAAGCGCTATCTGGTGTCATATCTACTTTAGTTTGCCCTAACAGCCTGGATTAGGGGCAGCAAATCTAGTTTCCAAATAAGTCAGAATCTTAGCGGAAGCTCTTGCTTTGCCAGCTATTCCTATGTCAGCTACTACTTTGTCAGGGGCTAAGTTCCTTTATCTTCCACGAAGGGATAGAAGAAGAAGCCCTCATGACTTGGCTACATAAATCTGCATATTTATAGAGAAATATTATCAATCAAATCGACTTTTTTGTGTTAGCTTATCTTATTCTTCTTGAATTGTCTCGAATTACCTACGGAGTTTGAGGGGTTCACTAGATTTTTGATTCCTTCTCCATTTCTGAGACCTTGGAAAGGTAAATATTAGTATATTATTTCTTCCCTCTCTTCTTCTTCCTCCCTGACTTCATACTCGCTCTAACCCAACAAAAAGGGCAGAGTTCCATTTGGTGGGTGGGTCTAGGGCAAACGAAAGAGATGTGTAGCAGAGGGAGGGAGGCATTGTGTCATCGAACAGAAAGAAATTTGCTCTTCTATTTCTTAGTAGGAGTGCTCCTATGTTAGGAGGACATTCCGTGCAAGAACTAGGTTTGAGTTAGTGCACTGACTAGGTTGTTTTATTAGTTAGCTCAGTGGGTACCGGAAATAGGTTCTTTAAAAACAGCAAAAACAAAACAGAAAGAGGCCAGGAAATACAGAACTTGAAATTCAATGTTAAAATCAATAGTTATATCCTTTAGCCAAACATACATACTCAAAGTCGCTGCAGAGCCGATAAAACTGGAACAGAGGAATAAATGAAGTCGCTGCAGAGCCGATAAAACTGGAAACAGAGGAACAAATGAAGTCGCTGCAGAGCCGATAAAACTGGAACAGAGGAATAAATGAAGTTGCTGCAGTGCCGATAAAACTGGAAACAGAGGAATAAATGCATGTTTACCTACTTATGGAACTTATCTTGCACAAAGATAGTAATAAACAATGTTTTTATAGCAGAACTATTCAGTACAGAAATAGTCCTCTTCAATATGACCATTACTAACTAACTGTTTGAATTAGTACTAAAGTTGCAGTGCCTCCTTTTTGAACTTTGTATGTGATCCCTAAAATGGAAAAAGTATTACACACTGCCATTTCTAAATAAAACTATTTCGCACGACATTTATCAAGAGAGCTGTTGTTCCAAAAATTTCGTCACAACGTTTTGTAAGCTGTCCCAGCCAACTAACAAATGCCCGAAGAAAAAGATAGATCTAATCATATGACTTTGACTTTAAGTAAAAAGATTCAATAGCACAATCACAGACCTTGATGCTACTGACAAAGAAAAGGTAGCAGAACATAACATTTAATGCGGCTAATAATCATAAAAGAATGTGACTTGCAAATCGCTCATCTTGATAGATCCAGCAAAATAAGAGTCACAAGAGAATCTCAACATCAATATAACAAAAAAAAAAAGCCTCATAAGAAACCAATATACCATTACATTTGGTATGCCACAAGGGTAAATCCAATAGTAAAACTAGTAATTAGTTACAAACTTAATATAAGGCGACATTTCTAGTATCTTGAGACAGAAAACAACCAGTAATGAAGTCATGAAAAACTCACTCCTGGAATATAATCACAGAATTGGTGGACGATCTTGGACAATCTAACAATTTGAAAGCCAATAGAAATAAATATTTGGATAGACAGTTCCCTGAACATGTCTCACACCTTCTTCTCTTTGATATGATAATGAACTCCTCCAAAACAGATGCATTGATTAACAGAAATTTTGAAAGTTTGAATAGCTTCTTAAAGCCCCATTTTACATGATACTTCAAGCACAGCTTCGATGAGCTGACAATCTTAACATTCTTGAGGTTGTGAAACTCAAGTCATGAAACACAATTCTGCAAATCCATATTATCTCCTTTGGCCAAATCACGTAACTCAGAGTTGCAGCGGGAATTGTCAACATAGTTGCAAATATCATCTAACTGGAGACACAAAATATAATCAGGACCAAATGCAAGTCAGCTTAAATGAAATTGCACAAATCTGAAAAAAGGTGATTCTATAGAAGTGTTAATGGTACTTGGGAAATGATTATGATGGGTACTTGGGAAGTGATAGCACAAACTTAATTTTTTTTAAAAGTGATAGCGCTTCTATAATTATCATTTCAGAACTCATTTTCCACAAAGAAAGCAACAATACTTACTATGGTAACGTGAAGCTTTACAGTGACATAAGCAAAGCTTCTTACTGATAATTAAGAAATGTTTGCATTCTTCTTCGGAAGCAAAGTGGAGGGGTATTAAAACTTCAAGAAAATGAATATATGTAAAAAGAAGAGATAGGTTCCAGGAAGTTACCAACATAGTTTGCATGTCTATGCTGAGTGTTTCCACCTGAGGCGAGGCTCTCAAAAAACCAACTACTCCATACAAATTAAACTTTTTCATATGCAACTGCAGGGTTAGATATTTGCAGTGAAAATCTGAAAGGGGTATCCGTTTGAACTGCATCATGCACATGACCTGGTGCAATAATTCCAATGAAACTAGCAAATAACGGAGAAAGCAGTAACAATAACAGGGAAGTACTTCACAACAGACAGATAGTACATGCTTTGACAAATCTAATTGTCTAAAACCTCGTTTCAGGAAATATCTTTTCCGCTATGAATAAAGAACCTTACTTTAAAAACTAGACAGGAGAATGGGCCACAAGTTTCTGTAATTAATTCTATAATGTTTACATTCTACAACTGTCTGCTTAAGATTAACCAAAAAAGGAGTAAGGAGTTTCGAGTTAAAGACAAACCTGTGTGAACCAATTTCCAATTGTTAGCTCAGTTGCATAACATAACTTTTGAAGATTTTCTTGGATGAGGGAATATAATACTTGATGATAGTCACGGCAGTTGTGTTCTTCATTAACATTTGGGACGTGATTGATACATTTATTGTTGTAAGTAATCTTAGCATTAACCACAGAAGAGACATCAACAAGTTTACACTTAACATCAAGAAAATCTCCTGATATTTCCAAATTCTGAAGATGCGGGGCAATAATTTCTAATTCATCTCGAACTCCAGAAACCCCATCTAATTCATCTTTAACTCCAGGAATCCCATAATCTATCAGCTTCAGTGTCTTAAATTTTGATGAATTAATTTCCACGCGACGGAAACCGTCATACCTATATAATTCCATTGTTTCCAATGAAGGACAGCCTGACAGTAATTTCACCATGTCCTCATCGGTAAACACCACATACCCCAATGTTATGCTCTTTAGAGAGTTCCACGAAATGACCGCATCATCAATAAAGCCACAACATAGCGTAACATCTAAAGTTATCAATGACGAACAGGTGTAGAGAGATTCAGGCAATGGGCACGCTTCAGGACTATATAAACCCAATACAAGACTTTCCACATTTCTCTCAACAGCAAAACTACAACAACGATTGACTAGGAAATCAAAATCAAACTTCAAATTGTAGTCTAATTGACACAAGTCCATGCATTCAGTTAAGTCGAGTTCGAACTTTTTGATTGTGGAAGAGCGGGAATGTTCTAATGCATTATGAATAAAGGATAAATCTTCTCTTTCCCGGTATTCTGAACAATTGAAATTGAAGCTATAAATTAGAGTTGGGAGAGTTTGCCACTTTTTAGAGATAACACAAGTTCTGAATGCTTCTTCTGTTGGCAGAAGTGAGAGAATTTTAACGAGGACTGCATCTGGCAACTTATTGATTGGTGCTTCTTCCTCTGTTACCTTTTGCTTCTTCGATTTTCTCAATTTCACCTTTCGCTTCTTCGAATTTCTCAACATTTTTGGGGTTGGTGGTGGGCAACAGAGAGAGATGAATAGGGTTTCTCAGACAATAAAATGCTTTGACAGTTCAGCATTGACAAGAAGAATCCTCTGTATTTATAAGTATGTCCTGAATTTAAAAGTTAAATTACTTAAATGTCCCTCTTATGAAAACAGGCGCCGTTTCAGCAAGAGACGCATGTTATGGAAGAAGAGTTGTCACCGTTTAGTTTAAAAATCAAAATCCTTTAGGAAGAGACGCGGTTCAAATAAAAGTTGCCACCGTTTAGTTGTGAAAAGTCATATTTCTCTGTTATTGTAATTTTCCTCTGGATATTAGCGTGATTGCGCTAAAATCAATAAGCTGAACACGAGTTGTGGGCCAATTTGTGTCAAATTATTTGGCCAAATTGACTTGCAGAGTTGGATTTCATGATTTATGTTTCCCGATTGTCAACTCTTGTGGGGTGTGTTTGAAGGATCATTCCAAACATGGGTATGACAATTAACTTTTCAGAATTTCTGTTAAAAATGTAATTGTTCTGGAGAAGTTCATTATGTGTCCTCATATTTATTTGTTTGTACATGCACATTGATGCTTTCTCAATAGCATCAAGGTCTTATGATTGTGATGCCAAAAAACTGAACAAATGAAACTATAATTTATCAGAACATGTCATTATGGCATTTACCATTTCTTTTCGAGAAAGCTGAATTGAGAAATAAGAATGCAATGGAAAAACACATGACAAAAATAAAATAGCAGGAAAAAGTTAGGCCAGAAAGGAATGTAGACCGCACACAAAACCTAAGAAAGGATTAAATCCTCTATGCACAAATCAGCACAAAGAAATCTATGAACAAAGATTGAATTATCTACAATCAACGGGTAAGGATGGATTACCCAGAAGGAAAGAGAATCATGTCAAGCTAAGGAAAGGATTTACCCATATGAACTTTTGTTTGCTTTGTTCAAGTCCCATCGCCATGACTTCTCTATCAGAAAATGTAGTTGGTGTTCCAAATGATATATAAAGAAGGCATAATACATATATTGACCCCTAAACTTGGCTTCAAATTGTAACTTTGACCTTTAACTTTGTAAGTGCACAAATAGGCACTTTAACTATCCAAAACTTAAACAAAAAAACACTCGGATCCTACCTGGCAAAATGCGTGAAATACACTCAAATTAGGCGCGTCAGATGTAAAAATTCAGGGGGTCAACAGTAAAAAAAACATTGAAAGGACAATTAAACCCTTTTTATATTTTTTTCAACAATTTTCCCCTCTTTTTTGCATTATTTATTGTTTACTGCAAAATGCAAGTGACATTTAATAAAAAAATTTGTTATTACGAAAAAAATTTATAATGAAGTTTTTTTTTGGCAAGAAGGAAAAAGGAACACGTGTAGTACTAATTTTTTTTTTTGAGATTTAATCAATTTTTTTTGTCTTTGAAATATTTCTAGCTGTTAATTACTGTAATTTATAGTACTTTCTAAGAAATTTTCAAATAATATATATTATTTCATTTGTCCGAATTTATGCGTCACCGGTAAATTTTGAAGAGTCAATCAGATCTTTTATATATTTTTATATCTTTTAAATATTTAAGTAATTAATTATCGTGATTTATAATATTTTATACAATTATTTAGTATGGTAAAAGAAATTTAAAAGAAACACGCATCCTTCAATAGTAAAATATGGGTCCCCCTTTTTTTTTACAGGTTGACCTCCTGTCTGTATAGTCTTTTTTTGTCCAGAAGGAAAAAGGAACACGTGTCGACCCCAAGGTCCTCTCTATTCCCACTTATTATATTATATACTAGCGATGAAGAGCCCGTGCTAATAATTAATTTAAAAGTTAATTTTTAATTGACGTTAAATAAATAGTTTTAAATTTTAAATTTGAATAAATTATATATATTTATATGGTAGTAAATGTTCATGTTAACTCTAAAATGAATACATCACTATTAATAAAGCTTGAAATTTAAAGAAAAATCCTTAAATGGCCAAAATAACCCTTAAACTCAAATTTAATCACAAAAAGCATACATGTCCACGGTGTGGTGGCTGATTCATCAACTAATTTTTTGTATGTTTTTTCAAAAATATTTTAGTTGCTAATTTGTTATAATTTATAAAAGTCATTAACGTCATTTTCGAATAACTTATAGTATTGTTAACTTTCAATAATATATATTGTTCCATCTATTCAAATTCATGTGTCACCAATAGAATTTCAAGAGTCAACAAAAATTTTTCTAAAAAAAATATATTTTAATTATGATTTATAGTACTTTTAAATATAACGTATAGTGTGTTTGTAGGCTCTTATTAGATTGAAAAAATATTTTAAATTAGTAATTATTGTAATTAATAGTGTATATTACGTAATTTTCAAATTTGTAATAATTTTTTTAAAATATTAAGTCTAATAATTTATAGTATCTTAAATGTAATCTTTGAATACACATAAATTAAAAAAAGAAATAAGACAAATAAATTATAAATTGAATAATTGACATTTTCAAATATTAATTTACCACAAAATGAAAGTGAAGGAAGAAGTTGTGAGGCAAAAATAAAGAGAAATTATTTGAAAAGGTGTCAAATAGACAGGAAAACGGGCCCATATGCATTGAATAGTTGGCAGCCATTGAGTGGGTCACTAATACACGTGGCAGCGTTTGCATTTCACGCTTTTGGCTCCAAAAATCGCGTGTTTATTTATTTAAAGGTAGGATAGTTAAAGTGCCTATTTGTGCATTATGAAAGTTGGAGGTTAAAGTTAAAATTTGAAGCCAAGTTTAGGGGTCAATATATGTATTATGCCTATAAAGAACTGATCACGGAGGTTGTTTATTCAGCCACTCCAAACATATCTCATTCCTATTCGAGATACAATCAAATTTTGTAGGCAAAATTGGTCCAGTTGCCCATTGTTATTTACTTTCTACTTGTGCCAGCAAATCAAGAAACTCGCCTTCAACTACTTTACTTGTATTATGGATATCACCTGATTTAATATCCATACATGGACTCTGAAGATCCATAAAGTTCTTGATTTCATCAGGCAGCACTCCTTCAAGGGGCGTTAGCTTATGGAAAAAGGTCTTACACTTAACTTTAACAGATTGAGAATCTGAAATCTGAAGAGTCTGAACTTGAAGAAAATGATGTGCAACTGAAAGTACTGTATTAAATACTAACAAGTTGAAGTGTAATGATCGGAACCTATTCTTTAGTTTGATTTCAAGGAAAGAAGATCAAGGGCTAAGGATGGATTGAAGACCTCCTGAATCATGAGACCAGATCTACAGGAATCACAATCACTGAAGGAAGAAAGAACTACATAAGATGGAAGATTAACCTCAAGCTTGGAAATAAATAATCGAGAGGATAGAAGATCAGCATCAGAAGTGAAAGCAGAATGATAGACCACTACAAATCATTGATTGAAAGAAATTCCCTTGAGTTCTCCTTTTAAAGAACTAAGAGCCTCACTAAAAAATTCTGTAAGAAGCCTTTTTCATTCGAAGAAGAAGACTACGCACTTCATTTGAACTTATACTTCATCTATATATTTTCTTTCATCTTTCATAATACTTGGTAAGCTCATAATGACTGCAATTGTAAAAGAAAAGAGAAAGAAGAGAGTTGTGTAGGTTATACAGGTAGAGGCTGTGACAATCTTGGATATATCCGACCTGAGTTAGATATAGTCAAAAATTGAATAGCTACCACAAGTCCCTTCCTTAAGCTATGAGGTTGTCTTCCACTGCTAATTCTTCAGGAATAATATATCTATTATGTTTGGACAATGAATAAGCCTTGCCAGAGACACAGACCACTACTGCTTAGAAAGTAGAAACTGGGAATTCACATATTAAAGCTGATCAGACTATAACTTAAGCAGATCTCGAGTGCTATTCGCTCAAGCAGAAAAGAAATTCAAAGTAGGGTTGACTAATTAACATGAATTCCATGTATTCACAAACATAAGCACTGGACAAATTGCGAGCAAAAAGTAAACCGAACACAATAAAAATCCAGGGGGCGACAGATACATGCACTGGGAAGAAATAATTACCACAAAGCTTGATTTTAGTTGAAGTGGTGCATGGCTTGAATTTCAAAGATTTTGCGGGATATGATCATTTTAAAGAATCCTTGGGAGAAGTTTATTTTATTTTTTTAAAGAATTTCGAAGAATTTGCGGGATATGATCATTCTAAAGTGCACTAGGTCTGGGCGATATATTTTTACTTCTTAGCATTTAGCCTTTCTGGACTAAAAATCAACCATGGATTTCGGCGAAAAGATAGAAGAAACAACAGCAGCAAACCAAAAACCAAATCAGTCAATTGTTGGATGCTCTTCTACTTCACATTCTCTCTCTTATGCTGACTGATCAGGACACTTGGAACAAGTGGTCTCCCAAAGACATCCAATATGCTGGTAGACATTCATTTTCAACTTTGTCTTTGATACATGTAATGTCGAACGTAAGCTTAACATCAACCGCATATGACATGTCTACAAGCCTACACTTGAGAACATGATGACTTCCTGAAATCTCCAAATGATGAAGATAGGGAGCAATAATTTCCATGAAATCATTGTATGATCAGGATGTAAAATCATTTCTGAATTTTAGTGAACATGATATAAAATGATGCTTTCAAATTTCCTCTGCTTCATACTAACTTCTCTTCATATAAAGGGTTATAATAATCACTGCACAATATTTGCAGTAAGTCAGAAGCTACAATATAAAGTGACATTTTTCTAGTATGACAAAACAAAACCACCTCCAGTCTAGTCGTGAACAAGACTCTTGGAAAGTAATCATGAGATTTCTAATGATCTTGGGTTGTCTAAGAATTTCATACTGAATCGTGATAAATATTGGGAAACACATCTTTCTGAACATTTCCAGCAGATTCTCATCTTTGATATGATAACGGACTTCTTCAAGTCATTGCCTTCTTTAGTAGGAACTCTGAAAGTTCAAAAAGCTTATCACCTCTTTCAAACAATGTGTTATGCAGCTGGCAATTTTAACATTCTTGAGATTGGGAAACACAATGTTTGACATCCAACTTTACAGATTGATATTATCTCCTTTGACCAAATAGTTTCGCTCAAGTTGGCAGTGGAAATCATGAAACTGCAACAGATAATATAATCAGGATGAAATGCAGTCTAATAGGAACATATTGGAATATTCCACAGATGACAAATAGGGAAAAAAAGTTCATTCCAGTAATGTATGATATAAAACAATTTTCAGAGGCTTAGAAAAGAAGTTCCTAATACGGCTTCTCACCTAAGTGTAAATGCATGAAACACAAAACAGAAACTCCAGAATACCTTATAGAGGGAAAACACGTATATGCTGCATGCGACAATCATAACCTACATACGAAACAAAGAGGAGAAATTAAGGAAGAGTTGTTAGCTTAGATGGGTTAGAGGATCTTGTTTTGTATTCTACTCACTGAATACAACAACCTCTGAATAGTCATCCCAAATACTACTTTTTAAAACATGTACACACATGCTTTATGGTAGAGTGAATCAGGACATGCGAAGAAGACAAATAAGTTTTAACTTTAATTACCTTTATTCCATGGAAAACAAAAAGTGACTGCAAAAGGGACTCGGTTAACCTTTGAGTATTTTAACAAACAAAATAATGAATCAGAATCACATATTCTAATCAAGTAAGCACTCATATAAGTCATCACAAATACCAACAACCATAAAGGATCATAAAAAATATAACGCTAATTGAACCTTTATCATCATTGGAACGATTTTTGATATCATGGCATTTTACAAAGGCAACGATATAAAGCAGCAAAGGCCCTAGAAGAACCTTGTGTAAGAGCTTCACTCAACAACAGATTATTTTCTTTCCAAACTCCGTCTTTATTCATAAATTGGAATCTAAGTAGTTGCAGTTGAATCACTTTTCACATCAGCTTTCATGTACTTTAAATTTTGCTTACAACATGCATTTCAATCTTAGCTGGGAAGTCTGTTTTGCTAGACAGCTCCCACAGTCTCTGTACTTCCTTTTTAAAAGATGCACTGTTGATGTTTAAAACAAAGAAAAATGGCTTTCATAAGCTCTCACCTTGGCGCTTCAGGAATAATATGTCAACGACGTATGGAAACTGAATAAACCTATCCAGAGACAGAGGCTACTACTCCTTCATGGGAATTCATAAGAAAGGATAGGAGACATAATAGAAGTTTTGCAAAACTCGGGAAGGATACCGTGAGCATGCAGAGGCATGTTTTAGAATGTCAATTATCTCCCAACAACTTCCTTCTTATTATTAGCAGGTCGATATTTTTACCACTTGATCTCCTACCAGAGTCCAGCCTCTAACTTTGAACAACACTCTATGCCATTTACATGATGATTTAGATGTACCATTATATATCTATAACCGTGACACCAAAATGATAAAAGGATGATAACTACAACAATTATTGCCACAAACAAATTGAAAAAAGAATCAACACAAATCCACTTATTAAAGCTGATCAGACTATCTATAACTAAAGCAGATCTCGAGTACTATTCGCTCAAGCAGAAAAAGAATTTAAATAAGGGTTGGCTAATCAACATGAGTTCCATTTATTCTCAAACATAAGCGCTAAGGGATAAATCGCTAGCAAAAAGTCAGCCGAACACAATGAAAATCCATGGGCTGACAGATACATGCACTGGGAAGAAATAATTACCAAAAAGCTAGGCTAAAAGTGGAAATTTTTAGTTGAAAGATTGAGTCTTTTAATGATTTCTTATAGAGTGAATGGCTTGAATTTTAAAAAAAAATGTGGGATATGATCAGTGTGCATTGGAAGAAATCATTACCAAAACTTAGGCTAAAAGTAGAAAGTTTTAGGTAAGTAGATTCAGAGAATTTTGAAGTACAGAGATTTACCTAATCATCTACTACTATTACTAACAACAACAAGTGGAGGTGTGGGAGGGGAGATGTATTTACACCAAAAAGTAATTTTCCTTTCCTGAACCTATTGGATATCTGACACATTCAAAGTAAATCATTGAGGAGTTACATTGACAAAATAAAAGGGAGAAAAAGGTAAGTAAAATTGCCAGATAAAGGTTAAATGGAATGTCTACCAGCTTTACAGTCCCATGAATCATGATCTTGCATAATTGAATGTAGAGAATAGCAGAAGAAAAGTATAATTCGGGAAGCATTTTGTTTGCCCAAGATCGTTAAGTAAGATCGAAAGATTCAACTAAAGAAGAGGAGGAAGCTAGAAAGTTAAAGAAAGAATTTGGAAAGAAGAACTTTGTAGTGGAAGAAGACTCTTTAATTGCTTTGATTTTCCCTTGAATATAAATGTACAAGGCCATCCCTTATTTATACTTGTCTATGGATGGTTGTAGAAACTCTTCTAGATACATCTAGCAATTACTCTAAATATCTAGATATTTCTTCAAGGCAACTACTCTAGAATATCTAGATATTTCTTTAAGACAATTTCTAAGTTTCTACACTAGGATATATTCTAGAGAAATCTATGTTATTCAGAAAATCATCTTTAACTTTTTTCACACTCCCCCTTAAAGTGATTTTTTGAAACTATCCCAATCTTGCCGCAAAAAAACTCAAATGAAGCTTTTGGAATTGACTTGGTGAAGATATCAGCGATATTCTCCTGACTTCGTACCTCGAATGATATGATGTTCCACCTCAATGTGCTTAGTTCTTGCATGAAATACCGGATTGTTTGCGAGCTTGATGGCACTTTGGTTGTCTGCAAAGATCATAGTTGGCTTTGATATAGATAGATGCAAATCTTCAGCAAGTCCTTGGAGCCATACACATTCTTGAGCAGTAAGAGCTGCTGCTTTATATTCTGCCTCCGTAGTTGACAAAGAAACTAAGGGTGTGTTTGGTATGAAGGAAAATGTTTTCAATGGAAAATGTTTTCCTAGAAAATGTTTTCCTGGAAAACAAGTTGATTTTTGACTTATTTTCTCATGTTTGGTTAGTGAGTAGAAAATATTTTTCAGAAAATTTTTTTAGTGTTTGATTTATGAATGAAAAATGTTTTTGAGAAATATCTTTTATTTATACTAGAGTAGAAAATAATTTTTGAAATTGAAAATATTTTTAAAAACAGACTTAAATTTTTTTTGGGGTGGGGGCTGGTAGGGGTGGGTGGGAGGGGTCGAGGGTAGGGGTGAAAAATTAAATTTTTGAAGTTGAAAATATTTTTTAAAAACAAACTTAATTTTTTTTTTTTTTTGGGGGGGGGAGGCTGGGTAGGGGGGTGGGGGGTCAAGGGTAGGGGTGAAAAAAATGAAATTTGTAAGTTGAAAATATTTTTTAAAAACAAACTTAAATTTTTTTTGGGGGTGGGTGGGGTGGGGGTGAGCTGGTAGGGGGATGGGTGGGGGGGGGGTCGAGGGTAATGGTGAAAAAATGAAATTTTGAAGTTAAAAATATTTTTTAAAAACAAACTTAATTTTATTTTTTTTTGGAGGGGGGGGGGGGCTGGTTGGGGGTAGGTGGGAAGGGTCGAGGATAGAGGTGAAAAAATGAAATTTTGAAGTTGAAAATATTTTTAAAAAACAAACTTAAATTTTTTTTTTTTTGGGGGGAGGGGGGGGGGGCTGGGTGGGGGTCAATATTTTTTAAAAGCAAACTCAATTTTTTTGGGAGGGGTGGCCGGGGAGGGGGGGTGGATGGTCAAGAATCGATATGAAAAAATAAAAATTTGAAGTTAAAAATATTTTTTTAAAATAAACTTAATTTTTTTTTCTTTTTGAAGGGGGTGGGGGGCTGATGGGGGGCGAGGGTAGGGAGTGGGAGTATAAAAATTAAAAATTGAAATTAGAAATATCATTTAAAAATAACTTTTAATATTTTTTTGGGAGGGGTGGTGGTAGGGGATGGGATAGGGATGAGAGTGGGTAAAAAAAATTGAATTTAAAAACAAGTTTTAAAATTTTTTCATACCCAAGTACTGCAATTTCTGCCCCTTCAATCCATCTCGTCAGAAAATCGAGATTTTCCGTCCGTGCTTCTTCCTTCTAGCCTCCACCTGAACTACCGGTAACTTCTTCCGCCGGAATGACATTTTGCGGTGGGTCTGACTGAATATGGATGTGGAATTGTCATTAATGCTTTTATTTTTGTTGACACTATTTTGGTTCGATTTAGCCATTTGTCTTACAAGTATCACTACTTTTTTTGTTCGAATAATTCTGTTTGTTGAACTAACAAATATATATATATATATATATATATATATATATATATATATATATATATATATATATATAAAAGGAGATGGTCATATAGAGATAGAAGAGTTGAATACATGAGCTCCATTATCCCAATTACTTCTGCTCAACTAAGGGGTACTGATTTGGTTTGAGGATAGAGAGAATCATATTATTTGATTGAGGTATATAAATAAATATAATAATCTCACCACAATGATAATAGAATAATCATATTATAATGAGTTTTTGATTGGGCTCATTTCTTTACATTTTCTCTATATTTCTTCAACTACATATTTAGAATTTTAGATAAGTAACACTACTTGTCTAATACATAATTTTAAAGCTCAACAATGAAATTAATTTAACAAGCATCTTAATTATTAAATTTTAGAAACTACATCTTTAATTAGAGCATGCAATATTAATCTCCCCGCCTATTTTGATACTTATTGGTTTCAATTTGTAAATTAAATCGGTTAACTTCCCTACCCCCTCCCCTTTACTCTCCGTAAATCCGTATAAGTAAGAAAATCATTTTGTGATCATTTAGAAAATTGATTTAAAAATTATTGTCTGAAAATTGAATTAAGGAACATATATGAGGGGGTAACAGTGTAACACTAGTGGTGAAATAATAGTTCAAATTTTTAATTGATGTATGAAAAGCAAATTTGAGTCCTCCGAAAAGCAAGGAGGCTCACCACTGACTCTGGAGTGCTCAGCTGGATCAACGGCGTGCAGGATGCTGATCCGGGGTACCTGTGTCTGCATCGTCATAAGATGCAGGCCAACTGGCATCAGTATATTGAATGTACGAGTATGCGAGCTGGAAAGCTAAACTACATCTTATGCTTGAAAAGAGTACAAGAGAATACTTACCT